AATTAAAAAAAATAAAGTAAATATAAGAACACATATAAACTGGATAAAATAATGTAAAAAGGAAAGCAGGAAATGATGCCTCTGGAATTTAGTATATTGGTTACATTACATTGGTGGAGGAGGCAGGGAGGATAGGATGAAGAAAAACCGCGTGCTGGGTGGTATGTTTCTGGGAGTTTGTCTTTAAAAATAAAAATGAAACAAAACAGCAAAGAAACCCAAGTAGGGTTGTGCATGAAACAAAGATAAGAGTGTATCAAGAAATAAGTATTATGATTAGTACAGTTCAGTGCAACTGAAATCTACTTAAGGAAACAAAAGGGGGTGGGGAAAATTAAGTGTGATTGTAGTGGAAAAGCTGAGGGTTTCGAATGAGAAGATCCCAGTGTGTAACTTTGGGAAAGTAGTGTAATCACTCGGAGGCTCTGATTCCTGCTCCGTACGATGGGTGAGAGTACCAAACGCTACACCAAATAGGTTTGTTGTGAGGGTTAATAAGAACCTGAATATGAAAGCCATGTGTCTGTCCAGTGCCCAAAACTGCACCAACAGTGTCTGCCTCTTGACGTTCCCCTCTGCTGTGCACACCATCCGCACATTTGTGTGCATGAAGATTAGGGTATAGCGGATGCTAGGGACACCTTAATGAGAAGTCACAGAAGATCAATAATCAGAATGAGGGGAAGCAAGGGCAGCCCAGCTCCTCTGTCTGGGTGATAATTAGGTTGGGGATTTGGAGGCTGATTAAACATATCAAAGCCTGCGTTTTTTCTCAAGAGTGAAGCGCCCCCCTACCTCCTCCTTTATAATCTTTTGTATCCCAGCGATGCCCTGGTGGTGATGTCAGTCAGAAAGTACTTTGTTTTTTAATTTCAGGTTTTAGAGGCAGCTTAGCATGGTGGAATACACATAAGCTTCTGTAGCAGATTGCTAGGGCTTCCTCATTTCTGATTTTCCTCTTTTCTGAACACAGAGGAGTCAGGTGGGGGGCATGTGAGTGATCTGTTCACAGAATATGGGTGGAAGTGACACCGTCCGGTCATGTTCACGTCTAGCCATGGAAGCTCCGCACAACCTTCCAGCCCCCTCTTCCTCGGATAGACGGATCGTAAAGGCCACACGTCCAGGTGGAGGAAACCAGATGGAAAGAGACAGGGTTGCTGAATGGTGTCAAGGAGGGCAACAACTCTGGAGAGACGCTCAGACCTGTAGCAGCTTTTGGATGGGTGAGAAATAGACTTGCGTTACCTGTATATGTATATATGGCCACTGACATTTCAGAGTTACTTGTTACACAGCATAGTTTAGCTTAGCTTAATACAACTTGTTCTCAGATTGTCTTGGGCTTGAATGCCGATTCTATCATTTATAGGCTGTATGACCTGGAACAAATCCCTTAACGAACCTGATCCTTGTTTCTTTGTCTTACAATGGTAACAATATTTACTTGTGCTATTCTTATCAAAGTAAAATAAATGAATGTATTAATAATTCCTTTCATGGTGTCTGACACAGAGCTCTCATAACTCGTGACTATTATTATTACTACCACTGCTAGGCTCTATGCTGGGCGATAAAGTGTAAGATGCATTCTTCCTTCCTTAAGGCAAATAGATTGTATTTGGGAAAATAGCCCATGTGCCCAGGAGAACTTAACGATTACAAGAGTCTGTCGATACAACTGAACACACAGTCAGTGCTATTAGCACAAGCACACTAGGACAAGGTCAGGGGCTACCACAGGACGCATGCATGCTGAGTCTACGAGGACTTCCACTTCTTGAGTCCTCTAAAACAGCAGGTGCAAATAGGAGCTACCAAGTCACCATCTGTGCCCGCCTAAGGATCTAGCTGGCACGGGATGGTGAGAATCTTTGGCCACGACTGGATGATCTGATTAAAAGATTCACAAGGCCTGCACAGATGTGGACCTAAAGAAAGGAGAAGGCAGCGAGGTTTGGGAACCCTACATGTGGCCGACCTGGTGTCAGTGGAATGAATCTAAGGACTTACAAAGCTCTTCCAGCCCTAAGAGGCTAAACTCTGAGCCACAGCTATAGAAGCCCGAGATGTGTGTGGCCCTTTGCTGAGCTGGGAAAAACCTTTCCTTCAGAGCTTGGAGGCCATTTGAGAGCCCAGAGTAGACCAGGCAAGAAAGGAGCCAGAGGTAGCCCCTGGGTCATTAAGGATCCAGTTCCTGTTTTTATTAAGGGTCTGACAGATAAGACTCAGAAGCCTGGACCAGGGCCAGGCCGCAGGGATGTGGCGTGGGTTGCCAGGTTAGTGTTCAGAAGTCGAGAAGCTGTGAGAGCCCTCACTGGGTGATCATAATTGCACATCTATTAAGTATGCATTACAGCATCTGAGGAAAAAAAGCAGGTTTCCCCCACCTATCAGCTCCCCACCTCTGTCAAAGGAAACTGAAAGCAAATTTATGACACACATATTTGACCAGAGCTTCAGAGACAGAAACGTTCGAGAACTTTTGGGGCATGGAGACTTTGCTTTCACATCTAGAACAACTTTGTCAGATCTCTTAATGCCATCTGCCCAAATCTCAGCCATATGAGTAATTTTCCGAATGGTCAACTCTGAACAATTTAAGCCAAAACCAGGGGCTGCACCCAAATGGTGCTCCTGCAAAGACCCATGTTTGGAAAAGCACTTTCTTTGTTCTTTTCAGACCATTTCTTCAAGCTACTGTGCAGCCGTAGTCCCATGCTCCATGCTTACAGATTGGGAAACTGAGGCCTGGAAGGGGTGATGTGTGTGGGTCATCTCACAGCAGGTTAGATGAGAAGCCATGAATAAACCCAAAATAGCCTTTTTAGACCAACGTTTCCTGAAGAGGTTCATGCAGCTTCTGGTCAGAATCTTGGTTTCATCATCTTTAAAAGGGATGATGTTGCATGTTTCCCAGGGATGCTATGGGGTTCCATGGGGGCTATCACGAAGGGAAGCATCCAGCTCAGCTCATAGTACATGGCAATAGGCCTTCAGGATGAATAGAATCTGAAATGTGAATTTCCAAGGAAGAGGCAGGACCACCCACTGGGACAGCATCATCCCGATGACCACAGCTTGTTTATGGCATGTTGGTATCATCCCTCTTTCTCCTTCCTTCCTGGAAGCTCCTCAGTCTCCTTATGTCTCTCTGGTTCCATGTAATGGACGTGCTGACTTTGTGTTTGAGGGAGTTGTTCCTTAGTTCCTGGGAATGGATTTTGGAGTCAAAGTAAGAATATCTTTTCCTTCAGCTTGGGTTTCTTGGCATGGTTATGGGAGGTTGGTCAAGTGGGAGTGGTCAAGGACAGGCTAAGGGGCCTTGCAGCTCTAAAGACCACACCTACCGCCAGCATGTAGGATTCAAATCAGGATAAAGGTGCTGGGGCTGGAGAGGACCACATTGTGCCATCTATCCCCACCAGGAACTCTTCTCCAGCCAGTTAACCCTTTATTTGTGAAATGTGGATAATCACACCCATCTGGCGAGGTCTTTGCGCAGACTTGAGAAAATGCCTGACACATATCAGGCCCTCGGTAACTGATTTTGATGATGTCTGTGTGTCGAGTACCAAAGGTAGTGCTGGACACTGTACATAGTAGGATTGCCCTACTCCTGCTCTCAGATATCCAGTAGGGGTGACGCAGCACAGGTGTCCTCGCTTTCATGTGTCAACACCTTAATAGGGGAAGACAACAATTAGGTCCCCCCAGGATGTCTTTTCTCCAGGCTAACATATACCTGGCTCCTCAGCTGTTGTTCACTTGAACTGGTCCTCTCCCTACTCTGCCCATATTTTTGAGATGAGCCCAAATGTGTCAGTGCCCTCCTTAAGATGGGAACCTGGAACTTAACACTGTTCTTCATGAGAAAGATAACCAGGGAAGTTCCCATGTTTTATTATAGACCCATTGGAAGTTAATACCAAGCACACTAAATGACTTACTCCAGAGATGCACAGTAAGATTTCTGGAAATAGGGGACTCCATGAATAAACAAAAAATACATTTCCTCACAGGAGGTAGGGAGGCTTCTGGGGTTCTAGAATATTCTACTCCTTTTTTTAAATATTTTTTTAAAGTTTATTTATTTTGAGAGAGAGCAAGAAACAACAGGAGGTGTGGGACAGAGAGAGAAAGATTTTGAAGCAGGCTCCGCACTGTCAGTGAGGAGCCTGATTTGGGCCCAAAACCACAAACTGTGAGATCATGACCTGAGCAGAAACCAAGAGCCCAATGTTAACCGACTGAGTCACCCAGGTGTCCCTAGAATGTTCCTTCTCTTGACCTAGGTGATGGTTACATGAGTTATTCATTTTTTAACATTTATTTATTTATTTTTGAGAGAGAGAACCAGCACGGGAGGAGGAAGAGGAGGAGGGAGAGAGAGAGAGAGAGAGAGAGAGAGAGAGAGAAAGCAGGGGAGGGACAGAGATAGAGGGAGAGAGAAAATCCCAGGCAGGCTCCATGCTATCGGTGTAGAGCCCCATGTGGGGCTCGAACTTACCTGAGCTGAAATCAAGAGTCAGATGCTTAACTGACTGAGCCACCAAGGAACCCTAAGGTATTCATTTTTTGAATAATTCATTGAGCTAGACATTTTTTTGAGCTGAACATTTTAAAATAACAGTTTTATTGAGATAAAATTCACATATGATAGAATTCATCCATTTAAATTATACAATTTAATAGTTTTTAGTATATACAGATATATACAATCACTTACTATAGTCAATTTTAGAACCTTTTCATCACCACTAAAAGAAACTGTATCCTTTAGCTATCACCTTCCTATAGTCCCCTCCTTCTCAGACTTAAGCAATTACTAACCTACTTTCTGTCTCTGTAAATTTTCCTATTCTTCACATTTAGTATAAATGGTATCATACAATATGTGGTCTTTTGCAACTGGCTTTTTTCATTTAGCATAATATTTTCAAGGTTCATCTGTATTGTGGCACAAATCAGTACTTTTTTTTTATGGCCAAATATTATTCCATTGTGTGGATATACCACTTTTATTTATCAATTCATCAGCTGGTAGATATTTGGGTTGTTTCCACCTTATGGCCCTTATGAATAATGGGCTATAAGATTAATGTGCAAGTGTTTGTGTAGAAATGTTTCCATTTCTCGTGGGTATGCACCGAGGAGTGGAAGTGTTGGGTCATATGATAACCCTTTGCTGAACTTTTTGAGAAACTGCCAGAAAACAATTTCCACAGGGGGTGCACTATTTTACTTTCCCACGAGCAGCATATGAGGGTTTTGATTGCTCCACACCCTCACCAATACTTGTTGTTATCTGTCTTTTTGATTATAGCCATCCTAGTGGGTGTGTGGTGGTATCTCGTTGTGGTTTCATTTGCATTTTCCTGATGACTAATTATCTAGAACATTTTGATTTATGTGCTTTTCTTAATATACGTCCTACTTTAATAAAAAAAAAGTGTATTTTTAAAATACACTCGCTTCTTGACCCCTGATACCCATAAAAATTGCTCAGTTCTGAAAACACGGAACCCAGAACTTCTGGAGGCTAGAGATTTTGCATCTCCCAGATGGGATTCACCTCTGGGGGTAACCAAGTCATTTTGGGACCAAGCTAGACTGGAGCTGCTCTCTTTCCCAGTAAGAAATTTCCCTTGGATCATACACAGAAAGGCTCCAAATGGACCTGTGTACAGGTATGTATTTTTCCCCTTATACTCAGGTAAACTCGGGTTGTGAAATGGGGTGGAAGGCTTGTATTCAGACATGGGTCAGCTATCTGAAAGACTATGTGGCACTGGACAAGGACTTGAGTCCTTGTCTCTTCATCAAGGCACAAAGTTCAGGACAAGAAGATTGATGCACTTGATCCAGACATGGAGCTTGAGAAGAGAATCATCCCTAGATCAAATGAAAGGTAATCCTTAAGAACATGTGTTACTTGTCCTACTTTACATGTGGGGAACCTGAAGCTTAGAGCAGTAATTCACTCAAGCCTCAAAGTAACTTAGTCTGCAAAAAGCCTTACTTTTCAATTCCCCCCTTCCTTAGATGGTAGAGTGAAAGCTTGGTGCCTTGGCATTACCCCCTGGGTACAGTTAGCTGCGTTTTCAAGGCAGCCTGATGACCTGGTCTCTGTAGCCCATGTTTAGTTCTGGGGCCAACCACTGCCATGCACGCCTCTGGTCACTTAGGCTATTCTTCCTCTGGTGAACCTGTGTGCTGGGTTCTTTCTTTTCCTCCTATTGGGTGCAAGATCTTAACATTTCTCTACTTTCATTCCAGCACTAGGTACCAGTATTTTTTGAAAGTTAAGGGAGGTATGTTAGTTGGGTTCCCCAGGAAACCCTCTACTGAGGTAGAGTTAAGAATGAAAATGGTTTCGGGGGAGTATGTGTGAAAGAAGGGGAGCAAGCAGAATTGGGCAGAGGGATCCATAAGATGCACACCTGAAGTCTCTGCCAGCTCGATGGGGAGTTGCAGAGCAAGGACTGCTTAACCAAGGAGTCCCACATTGGTGTGAAATCACTGGGTCTTTATATGACCACCTGTCCCCACCTGGCTCCTCCAAGGAAGTTGAAGTGGATTCTGAGGAAGCTAAAATCTGGCACCCATTAGGTAGACACACTCTTCAAGTCCTTTCTTAAAAAAGGAGCTGAGCAGTACATGTCCTCATTTGCCAGCAGTCCAGACAAAGCCAGACATTCCTACAGGAATCAGTTATTGTCTGGCTAGCTCAGGGAATGGCCTGGAATTCTGGAAAACTGGACTACAAACCTGGGCTATAAACTGAAGAGCATGTTGATTCCAATCTTCCACCCCTCCTTTTTTGTGGGTCACATCATGAGTGGTGTGTCACTGGGCTAGAAGGATTCTGCAAGGTCCTTTGGGCCTCAGTACTCAAGGACTTGGGGACAGGTGAGTTACCTCGTGTCCTTTATGCTGTCACACCTATGTGAATTCAGGTCTCTGCTGTAGGCCACAGTCACGATGGTCATCGTCACCATTTTCCCATATGCACTTTACCCAGCATCAACCAGCATTCTTAGAATACCAAATTGAACTAGAGTAGAATACAAAAGGAAGATTCTAGTTCACCTTGTCTTCTAGAAACTTCTTGTATTTGGAACAATCACATGCTATGCCAAATATAGAATGAATACAGTGACCTCCTGGGTTCTGTGATCCTGGGTTCCCAATTTCCCCTCTATAGAATGGGAATTACTATGACTGCCTCAAGCCTCACCCTGAAAGGACTATAGAGACTTCAATGGTATAATGGAGGTGGAAGCCTTTGAGCACCTCATTCCAAAGTTATCAGAGCATCTTTTGCCTAAGGCTCTTGAAACCTCTTAAAAGCACCACCACATTTTCATCATACAAAAATTGCCCAAGAGAGATCTCCTCATTACCAGCACTTGGTGGGAATCTGGCATTCATCCTCACAATTCCCCTATGATCACAGAGTCTTACCACAAAGGGCATCTTTCTGCTAGTTTATCTGCAGAACGGTCTGGGGCAGAAGGCAAAAGCACCAGACTATCTCGCTTGCCTCCCCGCCTCTGCTGGGGCCCAGGCAACGTTCACCAGTGTGGTCCCCAGAACTCTGGTCTCCTTGGCATAGTTATTTTGTTTGCCAAGTTAACATTTATAATTTTACTTCCTACTGAGGACACATTGAGAGAATTTTTGCCCACTGTTCAAATTCATGGGACTAATATGTTACTGGGAAGATGTCCAATGTCCAGGGGGAACAGGGGAAGCAGAAGACAAAGCCTGCTAAAGCGGGAAGGGACTTGCCTTCACTTCCTCATTCACAGGTGAAGCAGACACGATGAGCAGGTGCCCAGCCGGGCTGGACTCTGTTCACCTGATCGAAGTATACTGGTTCTGACTTCAAAGGTGTTGAGTGAGGTGGTAAGAACTTGGGCTTTAGAGTGATGGGTCCTGGCTCTGCCACTTACTGTCTAAGATTGGGCAAGTGACTTAATCATGAAGAACCTCAGTCTCTTCAGCTATAAATTAGAGATCATAACTCCCACCCTGCAGGATTGCTATGATGAGAGATAACATATGAAGAGTAACTGGATTATAATAGATACTCAATAAGTGGTAATTATTAAAATCATTACATTTTCTGCTATAAATTCAAAAAGTACTTATTGAACATTTACTCTATTCACCCATCTTTTCAAACATCCATTCATTCCAAAAACATTTCTGAGCTCAAGATTATGCTGAGGTCAGTGAAGGGTCCTACCGAGAAATAGAAAGCAGGCTCCTTGAGTTCAAGAAACTCAAACTTTGACTGGAAAATAATAAATTAGAAAAGAATAGAATTACAAAATGGAAGCCATCACACCTTCTTGACTGTGCTGTGGGAGTTAAGTGGGTAAGCCTGCAAGCTTGGCCTCTGGCCCCAGGCAGACTTAATGGGTAGCCCGACTAGAGTTGTATCTTACATGGGGAGAGAGGCAGAGGCAGCCAATCTACTATGAATCTTGGAAGCATGGGTTTTAGGTCCCCTCACCTAGAAGGGCTTCTTCCAAGGCTCTGTACCTAATTTTGTTTTTCTTGTCTATAGAGGCCCCCCCCCACCTCCGCAAATTGCATAAACTTCAAGACCCACAAACCCTGGATTATCTCTCATGGAGGACTGAGTTTTAAAGTCAGAAGATAAAGTAGGAACTGACAAGCTCATGCCTCGCAGCATGCTCTTGGAAAGCACACAGGAGAGGTGAAGAATCAGGATACCCTGAGATCTGAAAGGAAGGTATGAATCAAGTCAAGCTGAACAGTGGAGCAAGAATTTGAAAGTTGGAAGCCTCTTGGACTAAGAGAAAAGATAAAGGTGCCAGGTGGTGAGGAATGTGAGGGCAGGGAACTATACTTTAAACAGAATACTCATACAATTTTCACATTACATGTGCAAGAATAGTGTATAATGCATAATGGTGGAACCATGTTTGGAGTCACACTGATCTGGGCTCTACTTATTTGAACTCCATGACTTAGGATAGGTCAAGGAACATCTTAGAATAGAATTTCAGTTTCATTTGTAAATCATAATAGTAATACTTATCTCGAAAGTATTACTTTTGGAATTTTAGGTTATAAAATTAGGGAGATATTTTTCTGAAAATGATTTGTAAACTGTAAAGAGTTCTGTTTACCAATATTGGTTCTAATTCATTTTACTCACACTGTAGAAAGAATGTACTTGTTCACCAACCTGATAATAGTGGAAGGACCCTTAGGGGGAAAACAAAGAAACAAACAAACCCAGCTCTGGTACTCTCAGAGTAAAAACTCCAGCTTATTACATACTTGTGAGCAATTCCCTAATTTCTCCAATCCTCAGTTTCTCTATTAAATCATGAAAGTTATTATACTTTGCCTTTAAACACCAGTGAGGTAATATCTTGATCAGATTTATCTTTAAGTTCCTTGGGAGGAAATAAATGAAAATATCCAATTCACTTTCCTTATTCGGACCTTTACTAGAATTTGGAAAGGAGACTCTCTCAAGACTTTGAGCAACGGGGAAGACTGCTGAGTGCCACAACCCACCTTGGGCTGGACTGTAATGAGAAGGACATTGATTGAGTGCTAGCTGTTGGACATATGGTTTTGCCTCACCCTCGTAACAGGCTAATATGTTTGACATTACGGCTTATATTACACAGATGAGGAAAATGGGGCTCAGAATATTTGAGCAAATACTTCAGTTCCCACCTCTAGTAAATGGAGGAGCAGAACGTCAGACCCAGATCAATGCTGGAACCTCCTTTTCCTGGTGTCCCCAGTTGACCTGCAGCTCCTTTGTGTCCAGGGCAAGGAGGATTGAACCTGTGTTCTACAGGAAGTCAGGCCTGTGACAGGTAAGATGACATGAGGCTAAGCCTCTTGTAGACTCCGGCACAGTGTGAAATTGCTAGTTATTATTTTTAAAGCAGAGAGAAACTTTCCACCCATGCACTTACAGAGGCAGTTGGCTTCAAGGTCTGATGGTTTTTGTCACCCTTGCCTTTTCTAGATCAGTGTCCAAAGTGAGAGACTCTGTCTTCCAGTATGTTGTGGCTGTTTCTGTTGAGCAGTGTCTTCAAAGGTCTAATGAAGGAGGCCACCATGGTGCCTGCATGTCACAGAAAGAATGTGGGCTCACATCTTCACAATGGCAGAGATGGGTACAAAAGCAAAGACCACATCAATTTTGGAGCATTTCCACCTGTGATGTTGGACATCCTTCAGGCACGGTCTGAGAGAGGGACTGGACCAGCATCTTCTGAACATTGTATTGTGGGGGAAAGACACAGATATGAGGAGCTCTTCCCCCTGCAGATACACCTGTGGCACGAGCCACCCTTCCCCCATCCCCTAAGGCAGAGTCTCCTCTCCATCCCGTGCACACCCTTGTTGGTTTATAGGTCCCCACTATTAGATGAGTAATAAACAGTAGGATATAAGCTTCCCTTCTGGCCAATCCCAGAGCTAAAGTAACATGTTCAAACACCCTGTTATTATTATTACCAATGATAATAAGAGGAATAATGAGCAAGAATTGCTTTTATTAAATAAATCAGGAAAATGCACTTTACAACATGTTCCAGAGACATGTCAAGAGGCTCTCTAAATGTCTGGATGGTGTTGGAGCTTGCGTTGCTCACCATTATGAGGGAGTTTTTCTACAATTACTAGTCTCTCAACAGCAGGTTAGGACTCATCTTATAAATATATAATAACATAAACGGGCTTTCTGTTTATCAACTACTATCTTATAAGTGTGTGCTTTCCTCCTATAAATCCCCTTTTTTAATAGGTGCATTTTTGAAATGATACCATAATTGTAGCCATTTAAAGACTAAGATATTTAACCTTGATCTGTTGCTATTTTTGTCAGTTTTGGAATTTAAAGGGAAATCTTAGTTTCCTCAGCTCTGTAACCTTCTTTAGGGTCAAGTGCAGTGATCTGAGCATGCCAAGCATGCCATAAAGGTGCCCAGTAAGTGTTTTGTTTTTTTTTTTTTTGAGTGAATGAATAACTACAGAGATCTTGTAGTTCATCTACATCACTCTCTTGCATTCTAGGTTCTATCTGAAACTATCCTAGAAAGGTAGCAATAATAATATAGGAGAAGGGTGCCTGGCTGACTCAGTTGGTAGAGCATGAGACTCCTGTCGGAGTTGTGAGTTTGAGCTCCATGTTGGGTTTAGAGATTACTTAAAAATAAATCTTCAAATAACAGTAACAATAACAATAATGTAGGAAAGCACACAGCTTGAGAACAAATTTGTCCACCATTGGAATTCAGTATTTGGTGTGCTTGGTGTATTTTCTTTTTAAGTTGGCTTTGCACCCAGCGCAGAGCCCAATGTGGAGCTCAAACTGATGACTCTAAGATCATGACCTAAGCTGAGACCAAGAGTCAGACGCTCAACCAACTGAACCGCCCAGGTGCTCTGTGCCTAGTATATTTGACATTTGGAATAGATCATTTTTTATACACTCCCTCCCTCTATTCCTCAAAATTATTTCCCATAATACTCATTTTCTTGATTAGTTCTCCAGTTTTAAAATAATTTTAAAAAGATAAACAGTAATAAAGATATCCAAATTTAGTAACTTACTTTATTCATGGTCCGAAATGAACTGTTACCAAAATACTATACCTCGCAGTCCACACTGTGTTCCACTGTTTTAGAATTTAAACACAAATAAGACTCTAAGTCCTTGCTGCCTCTACACTCACTGCTCTGTTACTTTTTCCAGTGTGTGGGGTTTTATTCAGTGCCATCAAGCAATTCTCCAGTTCTCAGTGGGCACTGACTGGGTGTCCCGCAAATTTAGCTCAATTCTAACACTGTCTGGAGATAGTAGAGGTTCCATGAATAAGAACTCAGCCCGACAGTACTTACCCCACTTTGGATGCCAATCTCAGGTTCAGATTATTACCTGTGCTTCTAACCAACTGGCTATAAAACAGAGGTACCTACGACCCCCCTCCTTGGGTTTGATTAATTTGCTAGAGGAGCACAGAACCCAGGACACCAGTTTTCTTACTAGATACTGGTTTATGGCCAGGGATGTTAAAGGATATGAATCTACAGCTGGATAAAGAAATATATTGGGTGAGGTCCAGAAGGATCTTTAACACTGGAGCTTCTGTGCCAGTAGAGTTTGGGAAGTGCCATTCTCCCAGCTCATGGATGCATTCTGGTTCACCAGCTTGGAAAACCTCTGAAACTCTCCTTTTTTTGTTTTTTGTGTAGGCGCTATTACATAGGCATGATTGATTAAATCTTTGGTCATTGGTGATTGCTTCAACCTCCAGCCTCACTCCCCAGAGGTATAGGAGGAAGCAGTGGGAAGGAAAATTCCAACCCTCAAAGCCTGGTTGGTTTCCCTGGCAACCAGCCCCCAGCCTTGAGGGTTTCCAAAAGTTACCTCATTAACATAAACCCAGTTGTAGTGGAAAGGTGCTTGTTATGAATAACAAGACACCCATTTCACCTTTATGGCTCTGAAGTGATTTCAGGAACTGAGGACAAAAGACCAAATATTGTAACAAAAGATGCTCCCATTGCTCTTATCTGCTCCAGAAATTCCAAGTGTTTGGGGAGCTGAGCCAGCAACTGTGGACAAAGACCAAAATATAGACGTATCACACCGTTTATTCCAAATAAATGGTTTAAATGTGAGAAGATCTGATACCACATGGAGCAAAGATATGACGCGTGTCTGGAGGAGAGTTCCAACAACTCTGAGCCATTCTGCCCTTGCAAACATACCCTTGGAAACAGTCCTGTGGCTGAGTCCTCAGGGGTAGGGTGGGTCAGGGCAACAGGATTGTATAACTGGGAGTTTCGGAAATTAACTGCCATATAGAATACAGTGTTCACTAAAAATGGGTTAATTTGGATCATGTAAGTGTGTGTCTGTGTGCATAAACTCAGCAGTAATCATAGCAACTAATTAGAACTGAGACCAATATGAGGTTTGGTGGGGGCCGGGAGCATTTTCTCAATGACTTTCTTTTGAACTGCAGGCACATGTTACGTCGACTGACTTCAGTTTCATTACTGTTTTTAAATTCTCTACTGAAAATGCTCCCCATTATTGCTTCCTAGTCAGCAGTCCATTGTCAGAAAACTCACAGTAACAGAATTAGGGGGAACAAGTGTGATCTAGGGGCAGGGCCTACCCACTGAGGGGAGGTGCATTTCTCAGTGCAGCAGGACCTTCACCTCTGCCTAATGACAAAACTAAATCAATTTAGTGGTGAGTCTGATGTCCTTTATGCAAGGGAAAATATTCCATGATTGGGGCGGAAGGTAATAGTGCCTCACAGGCAGGGGACACTTCCTGAGGCATCTGGGACAAGTCCGAGTTTTATAGAACCTGAGAAGAGGTTCTATAGGCAGAAATGGCACAATCAGCTAATAGATCCTATTTTCCAGGGTAAGATGAGCTAGCTAAAGTTGAGCTGAAGGGTTGTGACTGGAATATGTTCCATTCCCTTTGATAGGTGTTTCCCCAAAGGACAGGCTGACTCGGGTTTAGGCTTGTGACCTGGGCCAGGCCCCTAGGGTGGCCTCCATCTTGTGAGTCCAGACATATGAATTAGCTTTACCGGCTCTCACACTGATGTCCCTGCCCCCAGGAACTCATATCTGAGTCCAGCAGGGTTGAGGTGGTGATAACAGGAAGGGCCACTAATTAAACCCTAAATAAGTCAGTTTGGTCCTTCTGATGAGGGAGCATAAGGCAGGCTGAGGGCAAAGTACAAGCTAGCACACACCTCTTCCCACCAGGTAGAATATGTGTGATATTCCTCAGGCACTCCTGGCTGCCCAAGAACAAAGGAAAAGAAAGGAAACAAATGGTTAACTGATAGAGATCCCAGTTATACAGGACATGAGTCTCCATCAGTTTACAAATATCTGAGTAAATTACAAGAAAAAGGCAATCTTCTCAATCGCCTAATATACAGAAACCTGTAGACTCAGTTTCATGGAGCCCTAACATCATCTTCCCCTCCATAGAGATATGGGGAACAAAGGCAGGAAGAAAATGGCAGGTAAAATTAAATTTCCTTATAACCTGCAGCCCATGGACAAATACTTGCTGCAAAAACAGAGTATAACTTTTCTCCAGGCACTCCCTACTGTCTTAATGTCAATGCTTTGCTAGAGGGGAAAACCTTAGTGTGACAATAGCTAGGACTTCAGTTATCTGGGAGTCTTTAGCGTATGAAAATCCCTTTAAGAAACGTCCTCTTGACTTTACCTCCCCCTACTTCATAGTATATAACCAGTCACTCTGCACAACCCCAGTGCTGCTTTTTATGCCCACGGGTCCTGTGCCTGTGCTTTAATAAAGTTACCTTTTTGCAAAAGATGTCTTCAATAATTCTTTTTTCTGAACCCCACCATCACCTCAAAACCCCATCAGTTCTCAACAGAGTATTTACCCCAAAGTAACAGGACTCATTTTGCCCCCTCACTGTAGAAGGCCACATGGCTGAGGACCTGTTGTACCATGCAGTACTCAGTGCCCAGCAGAGGGTGACAAGCACAAGAGCAAATAGCCCAGGTAATCAGTGACCACAGCAGTGACCTGGTGGACACTCCACTGAAGCATGGGTTACATGCGTAATTACAATGGTAAGTAAGATTTCTGTGGTCTTGCTGCTGTTTGGAAGAAAAAGTTGTCCTCTTGTCTTCGAGATTCTTTGGGCTGGTCTAAGAATTAAATTGACATGAGACATTACAGGAGAAAATTAAATTTAATTACAGACAAACTAGGGCTCCATAAGAGTCTGGGGCTCACAGGCAGTCGGACAGTTAAGGCTTATAGGCCATCAAAAACTAAGGAGAAGGAGGTAGGAGTCTGGGACTTCACAAGGGAAGGAAGACAATTCATAAGAAGATGAAAAAGGCCGTTTGGTAAACAAATGTTCGCTGGACCCTACAGAAGCAATGGGACCCATAGAGGAATTTTAACAAATAGACTTTGCTAAATTCTTGTTTGCCACACCTAGATCATAAGATATTGTAGTTCTCTGTGGTGATAGCTTCCCTTCTCTTTAGTTAGAGGAGGTCCTCTAACTGAATTTTTTGGGGAAGTTAGGGGGAAGGAAGGTCAAAGTGTCTTCCTGAGTCTTCTGTTTATTAAAAATAATTAACCTAAAATAATCCACATGCCAAAGATACATGTTTTGGGGTGGCAATATTTTTTCCTACCCTGTTAAAAACAAAAACTTCCACAGACTTTACCTTCTGTTGGGCTTCCAGTAACTCTGTAAGGTGGATACCATCACTATCAGCCCTATTTCATCTCCTAAAAACTCAGACCCAGAGAAAATAATCACCTCTCCCAAGGTCATATGGCAAAGACTTGAACCCTATTCTTTTTAAGCTTTTGTTTTTCTGAGTGACTCTTGTGGACTTGAGCAGAGCTGGCAAAGAAGGAACCAAGAAATGTGTACAAAAAATTTTGATATTACACAGCTTGTAAATATGGAACGTCAGAGGCCAGAAGTGAAAACTAAGGCTTCTTAAAAAAACAAAAACAAAAAACAAAAAACTTTTAGGGGCACCTGAGTGACTCAGTCGGTTGAGTGGCCGTCTCTTGGTTTCGGCTCAGGTTATGATCTCATAGTTCACAAGTTCAAGTACTATGTCGGGCTCTGTGAGGACAGTAGTTGGGATTCTCTCTCTCTCCCTCTCTCTCTGTCCCTCCCCTGCTCATGCTTTCTCTGTCTCTCTCAAAATAAATAAATAAACTTTAGACAAATAAATAAATACAAACTAACTTTTTAAAAATGAGGTATAGGGGCGCCTGGGTGGCGCAGTCGGTTGAGCGTCCGACTTCATCCAGGTCACGATCTCGCGGTCCGTGAGTTCAAGCCCCGCGTCGGGCTCTGGGCTGATGGCTCAGAGCCTGGAGCCTGTTTCCGATTCTGTGTCTCCCTCTCTCTCTGCCCCTCCCCCATTCATGCTCTGTCTCTCTCTGTCCCAAAAATAAATAAATGTTGAAAAAAAAATTTAAAAAAAATGAGGTATAACCTCATAGAGTGAAGTGCACAAATCTAAGTGTATAGCAGGTGACTTTAAGCTTTGAATCCCATCTGGATCAAGATAGAAAGCATTTCCAGCACCCTAGCAGGACAAACTGTTATCCAGGGTTATACTGATTCTCTCTCAAAAGATTAAAGTGTTTTTTCTCTTATTCTGGCATTTACTATACCAAACAACATATAAGACTGATATTTTTCATAAAATTAATTTGTTTTTGTAATTAACTGAGAAAAGTGACACATCCCGCCTTCAAATCTTTGTCCTTGTTGCCTGCAATGAGCTGTCCCCAGATATTTACCTGCTTTGCTCCCCATCTCAACCTCCATCACATACTCAAACCTCTTCTCTGTGAGGCTTCCTCCGAGCAGACTGCTTAAAATTACAAGCCCCAACCTTACATTCCACATTCTACCTGCTGCTTTATTTTATTCCACAGCACTTTCTACTATCTGACATTGTCTACACTTTCCTTACTTGTTTATTCTCCACCTCTCCTCAGCTAGAATGTAACCTCTTTGAATACAAGGCTGTTGGGCCATGCTGTTTGCTCCTGTATCTCTGCCCCCTCCAACAGTATTGTCACCCAGTTAGTATCTGTTCAGTATATATTTGTTTGAAGAAATGAATATAATGTAGCCTGACCCAAAAGACTGAAAACTCAAGCAAATGACTGAAAACTTAGTTTGCACATTCACTTCTTTTTTATTTTTAAATTTTTTAATGTTTATTTTTGAAAGAGAGAGAAAGACAGAGTGCAAGTGGTGGAGGGACAGAGGGAGGGGGAGACACAGAGTCCAAAGTAGGCTCCAGGCTCTGAGGTAGCACAGAGCCCAACATGGGGCTTGAATGCACAAACCCATGAGAATATGACCTGAGCTGAAGCCGGACGCTTAACTGACTGAGCCACCCAGGCACCCCTGGAAGCTGTATTTATTACACTGTTCTCAGAGTCCTATTAATACTACATAATTCAAACCTTAGCAAGGAAGCTGGCGTTGGTCCTATCCCCATGCCTGCAGCTATAAAGAAGTGCATTGTAAATGAGCAATTATATTTCTTAAAGTTCCTTAAACCCATACTCATCTCTGTGATTACATCCCATATTACTGGGAAAAGATAAGAGTTAATAGTGCTGCAGCCAAATGCCTTTAAGATACACCTGCCAATGGAAATTTCTCACAATGGTGGAGGTAAACAAGGCCGAGTCATTTTTTGGAGATTCCCGCCAGATTTATCTTCAGGCCATGTGACTATCTACTGTTCTTCACCTCGCAGGAGGGCTCTTTTACCTGTAGATTCAGGATCTCCATGTTTATCAGCATGACTGGGTGGACTGTGAGGTCTTTCTTCTAAGACACCCGAGTTGGAGCAAGAAGGAGCCAGGAGAACACTCCTGACCAGCTGTTGTAGATGCTTTGAATTCCACTGTAGCTTTATTCCTTGCTGTGGCTTTCTTCTTTCTTAGTCTGCAGGAGGTTATCAGTCCTTTATACCTTAATGTGAATGAGTTTTTCAGCTCCTTTCAGAAGAGCAGGGGAGAGGAGAAGAGGGGAATAAGAGTGGGGAGTAATGAGGAAAAGGTGCCAACTGGGAAGAAGAAACCTACTGAAAGAATTTCGGGCTGAGAGCTGCCAGATTTATTCCTACAGGTCTGGTTCTGAGTCCAGGGTGGAAGTCTGAGCTCAGGCTGGACACACAGCCCCCTCTGTGACCTGTCAGCATTTTTTTGTTTTTTAATTTCATGGCTGCTCAGAAGAGGTTGCTGTCCACTGCCCACAGTTTATTGATACTTTTCTCACATTCGGCATTTCTCAGAGACTGGAGGCTCCAAGGTAAGCCTGGAAGCTGAAGACACTGTGTTCATAAACCGAGGCTGTATGCAAACAAACAAAACAAAAGATGAATGAAGCATTCTAATCTAGGTTTCAGCTGTGTGTGAATCTGACTATTGCTGTTGAAATTTTTTCCTTGCAGGTGATTAGACTTCAGTGGAACCTAAAGACGGTTTTTGCTTTTTCACTTATAGCTGCATGGACTACACAGTGCAATTGACTGCCATGTAGTAAATATTTGGACCAGTAATTCATGACTTTATTCAATAAATATTTCCTGAGTGCTTTCTATGTGTAGAAATAGGATAGGAGGCTACTTTGGTGAACAAGACAGAGAAGGCCCCCACTCCTGGAATTTGCATTCCTGAGGGTGGGTGGAGGGGAGAAAGACAACAAAAAAAAAGTAAAAATAAATAAGAAAATTGTAGATCCTGATAGTGCCGTAAAGAAAATAGAGTCTGGTGATAAGAGGGCCTGTGTGTATTGACGATGTGATAGGCTGGTCAGGAGAATCCTCCCTGAGAACAGGACATTTAAGCTTAGGCCTGAAATCTGAGGACAGTACAGATGTGTGTGTACAGAGAAATGGCATGTTCAAGGGCTCTGAGACAGGATCAGCTTGGTTGGTATCATTAGGGACTTGAAAGATTATTGTACTTAGATCACAGAGAGAGAGAGAGATGCAAAGAGGCAAGAGATGAGATCAGATAGGTGGGCCAAATCCTTAAGACCTTGTTGGCATGGGAAGAAGTATTCAAGACAGGGAGATGACAGTGGGTGGTTTTAGAGCAGAGGGTTTTAGAGCATGATGTTGTAATCTCACAGTGAGATTGGAAAAAAAAAAAAATTCACTCCAGTTAACTGCTTCCTGTGTTTCAAAGATGCTTACTAAATATCTGCTGAAAGAATGAATTCATGAAAGAAGAAAGTACTCACAGAAGAGAGCATAAGACTCATAGAAAGGACATTGGCCTCCACCTGGAGCTGGAAGAAGAGCTGTGATGCTTGTTGGTTGTATGACCCTGGGTCATTCATGGAACCCCTTTGAATCTCAGTGTTGTCATCTGTAGAATGGGGTAATAGCTCCCTGAACTGTTCCTGTAAGGTGTAGTGAGGATCAGAGGACAAATGTGCAAAATGCATATAAAGAGAGTGACAGATGATGATGGAGATGGTGATGATAAGTTTTTGGTCGTGTTAAGCCACAGTGGGATGCTTGATGTTAACTTCAAACCTTCGATATTCATGAATTATCTTCCAGCTTTGTTTGGAGTCTATTATACTTCTCAGCCTGTACTCTTGTCAGGTGGGGGGCTTCCAGTCCTGCCTTTGTTTATCCTCAAGGGCCTCGAGAGAGAACCCCTAGCTCCTGTACAAAATACAAATCCCTTGTCCTTGCTTTGGCACCAAACAGCAGACAAAATGCTTTCAGATGGAGTGCCTGGATGGCTCAGTCGGTTAAGCATCCAACTTCGGCTCAG